TATATATCCTCATATAAGTATATAAGAAATATAGTAATATATACATAAGGATATAGAACTCATAGAATGTTTATTCTAAAATTTTAGTAATATCATAAAAAAGTGAAGTTAACATTAACACATATAAGTATATAAAAAATAAAAAGTAATATGAAAATATATGTTATCACTGTTATGTAAATTGAAATTATATATATAAAACAAAAACAACAAAAATGAACTAGAAAAAAGAGAAAATACAATAAGACAAATGGTAGATCTAGTTAAAAGAAACAAAAGCAAACAGTAGAATATGAACCAGAAAAAATCAATGAGAGATCTAAAAAAGAACAGTATCACCGAGTGTTTTGGTTTTGGAAAAATAATCTCTCGTCCCTTTCCACTTGCAGCGTGTATGTGTTTTGTCGTGTTTTTGTGAGGTCCCCTCCTTTCTCGAGTGTTGGTCTCTTACCCTCTTTTATAGATATTTTGAATTTTGACATTGAGATGCTGATTTGAAAGGAATTCAAATTTGTCTGGAACATGTTTTGTGATTTTGAAAATTTTCTTCTTTCATTCAAACATGTTTGGATTATGTTTAAGACTTGTTTTGGAATGAATCTTGAATTGGTCTTGAGATTATTTTTTGTGTGGATTTTTTCATTTATTTAAAGTATAAAATAAGTATTTTAAAATTAAAAAATGATTTTTTTTAAAATACTCCTAAATGAAAAAACGAAAATAATAGTTAAATAATGAAAAAATGATATTTTTACCCTTTTTTTTATGAAAACACACAAAAAGGAAAATAAATACAAAAAGTAATACAATAGGACTTGAACCAACAACGTTATGATTAAACCTCTTACACGTACCTTCTTACCAACTATGCAATCTCATTTATTTGTACTAAAATCCACTCGAAAGCATATGAAGGATGGACAAAATAGGGGTATAACAATGCATAAGTCAAAACATTACTTATCATGAAAAAGGTTCAAAGATCAACATGCATAAATCATAACAATATTTAAAACATGGATAAAAGTCAAGAGAATCATGCATAAGTCAAAATATTACTTATCATGGCAAAGTTCAAAGATCAACATGCATAAATTATAACAATATTTAAAGCATGGATACAAAATCAAGAGAATCAATCAAAAAAATCATTCATAAGTCAAAACATTACTTATCATGAAAAAGGTTCACAATTCAAAATCAACATGTCTAAATCATCACAATATTTAAAACATGGAATACAATTTAAGGTAGGTAACAACCAAACATGGCATTCAAACATATCTTTACAAAAATGAACATGAACTTGAAAGAGTGATAGCCAACATGTAACAAAAAAGGGTATACAAGTTCATACATCAAGTAAGGTTCATACAAGCAAGGTGTGCAAGGGGAATCAAGAGAATCAATCAAAAAGGCTAAGAGAAATCTCATAAAATCCCTAAAAAGGCAATATACTTTGAGTATGCAAAAGTGATAGAAAAATAATTCTTTTTGGAAATTTATTTATACAAATGAAAAATAGGCATTATCATGAACATCTAGCAAAAAGAATGGGATCAAAATGATAAAAATCAAAGAAGTTATGATTAAATCAAAATGTGAAGAAAAACATAAAAACAAGTGATAAAAAAATATTGGAAATGTATCCCATGGGGTTGAACCCATGCACTACCACTCATAGGTCAAAACATTATCCATCCAGATACCACGCGCATTGTGAATCAAGTGGAAATAGAACAATATATGTTGAACATCAATTAAATCATGAAAAGTGAGCAAAAGGGTTGATCCGCTGGATCGAACCCAGGTTAGGCAAGGCAAGAGTGTATAAGAGTGCGCATGGTAAACCACTGGGGTGGTGATACATCCATTGTATCACCCCCACCAAATAATAGATAAGGTTAAAAATGATCTGAAAGCTACACAAAGGTGCCATGGCTGGCCTTGACTTGAAAACAAATTAGTTGCAAAAGCTACCATAACTTCCTTAATGCTTCATGAAAATGGATGATCCAAAGATCAAACTTGCTTGATTTTTCCCAAGGAACACAATGGTACCATTAGTTTTGGCTAACAATTTTTCTATAGCAAAACCCGATAACATGATCAAAAGGGTAACAACCTTACGTTTTCTATGTCACAACCTTAAAACAGTCAACCATATCACTTAAATAAAGTTCAAACACAACACATATAGCATTTTAAACATGTTTGTGGTCAATTCACATCAAAGGAAAATATGGTTTGCAAATTTTAAGATTGTAGTGACTTACCTCTTGAAGCCAAACTTGAAGCTTCCAAGATTGATGCTACATAACTATTGTAATACTTTGGAAACCTTCTATGAACCTCTAAAAAGCCTTTGGGATGTTTAGAAACAAAGGAAAATCACCAGAACTGGAAATGCCTCCTTCTTGCAAAATGGTCAAAAGTGACCAAAACTGAAACTTCACTAAATGGACAGTGTTTTGGATGTGAAAATGCAGAAAAGTCAAGTTTTTGAGGTTTGATAGTTCTTATGGTTCCAAGGCAAGGTACAAGAATATCTTAAGTAGTTGAGATCTTTTCTGACTTTTAAAAGGTGCTCGAGTGCATAGAGGACATGTTAGAGGCTCAAGAAGTTGGTTTTGTGGAAAAGGCATGCTTTATGTAAATGGAAGTCACACATTTATGCCAAAACTTCCATAAGTGGTATGAAACTTGAATGATGGTTCAATCCTTTGTGTAATGACTTCAAAAGTGACTCAAACTTCTAATGTAAGTAGATGTGCAAGTCTCAAGGTTGTCAATCAAAGAATTTTGCAGATTTGCTTTATCTTGCAAGTTGTTATTGGCATGAAAATGACTTAGAAATCAAGCTTTGGACCCCAACTTCTCCTCTTCGAATCTCCTAGCTCACAAAGTCTATGAAGGAGATCTCGTACTTTTTGGAAAGGTCTAAACATGTTCTATAACTTTCCTGTTTTAATAATTTCTTGAATCTCAAGGGATCATAGTGAAAACTAGCCTTGAAGTTGGCTGAAACTTGTAGTAGGAAAGTTGTCTTGGAAAATTCTAAGTATTTTTGAAAATCTTCCAAACTTTGAGGCTTCATAACTCAAAATCTAAGCATATTTTGCTCATAGGTCACTCGGAAACTTTTGTAGTACATGCGGAGATATACACATTGATCTTTGGAACTCACAAAATGAATTTGTGGATTGGAAGTTATGACCTATCAAAGTTGGCACCAAAACTAGGGTTTTTCCATACTTAGAAAAAATCCAAGTTTTCTTTTTTTGGAAGAAAACTCTCAAATCTTGATTTTTTTCATGATCAAACTCATGGATTGAACATACCTTTACGAAATTTTGTTTCGATGCTCCAATTTAAACCCAAAACTTAAAAGTCAAAGAGTTGACTTTGTCAGATGAATTTTGAACAGATGAATTCAACTATGTGATCTTTAAGGAATTTGTATCTTTGAATCTTTTCAAACATCAAGGATGTGTATGAACATATTGAATAATTTCCCAAGGCTTGGCATCATGTTTCAATCAAAAGTCAAAGCCACATGTTGACTTTTCCTGATAAAAATCCTAATTTGGGACCATATGAAATTGTGCTTCAATTGACTTGTAGTGAGATCAATTAACCCTTGAATCTTGTTGAATACAAGCTCCTTGAATGTATGGGGACTTGATTTGATGATGATAAATCCAAAATATTGAATGATCAAGCAATAAATGTTATTCTTTACTTTCTCTTTAAATCAGATTATAAGTACTCAAGAATAACAAATAACCCTTTCACCCTAATTAAAATTTGCCACACTTAAGATGAGAGACTAGTATGTTATTTATAAAAAAAAAACCTAACATACTAAACTAATGGACTTTTTTAACAATTACCCACTACAAGCTAACTTAGGGTACAAGCTAACTTAAACAATTTGACATAACAAACAAGCCCAATTTGTCATGCTAACAAATCTAGCATTTCCGACAATTGCATGTTTGACCCTTAATTCTTCGACTACAACATACACTACTTTGACAACAACATGTGAACGACATTCGACTACATGCTAAACATCTGTCGAACTGTCGAACCGAGAAGCTACCTTCGATCATATTAGAGTTCGATCCAGTATTTTAAAACTTTGAGTGTTGTGATATATAACACGCTACCTAGTTTATTACAACGGTTCTACGCCTGTGGTAGAAAGTATCATACATAAAACCACACTTTATCTCACAACAGTTAGTCAGACGAGATTGTATCCCTTTTTCAACTGTTATGGTAGACGTTTTTTGTAGTAGTGTAAATTCAATAAAATAATATTTAAATAATTTTGACAATTAATAACGTTGTACGACTACCATCAAATTTGTGTTCATTTTTGTAATGCATTTCATCTCATTTTCATCACATGATAAAATTATTTTATTCTATTATAAAATACTCAAATAATAAAATAATTTTTTTATTCCATTCTGCTTTGTTATATTCTATTATATTCCATTACGTTGGGTTTGTTTTCCTATATTCAAAATTAATTTTAGATACAACTCACATGTATTACTCCCTACCTTTTTATTATATAAAAAAAAAGTCTTACATTTTAAAATTCATTAGAGGGAAAAGATATTTTGACACTACTTTATAACACCTACCCTGTAATTTTATATATAATACATACTGATTTTATTTTTTAATAATTTGTTCACCTTGGTTTTTGTGCAAAATCAGTATAATTTATTATTATATAAGGTGTAACATACATGGTGTATGGAAAAAGGTGTAAAAATAGCATAGCTCATAAACAGATATGCTGTGTTGACAAAATTGTGTCATTGCAAAATTGGTTTGCAATAGTTACGGTGTCAATACCGTGTAAAGAATTTTAGTGTCAACACAGCATATCTGTTTATATATTATCTAGATACACTATTTATTTAACTCATTCTCGCAATCAAAAGCAGAAGAGACGCACAAGTTGCATACTTTTGGCAGTCATGGAGAAAGGCGAGTACTCTCCCTTATTTGAAACAAAAAAGGGGAGAGGAAGACTTCCCTACAGGCTCTTTGCAACCTCAATATTTGTAGCCATATGCTTCATTTGGTTCTACAGATTCAACCACATCATATCTCAACAAGAAGAAGATGGAAGAAAATGGGTTTGGCTTGGTTTGCTTGCTTCTGAACTATGGTTTGGCTTTTATTGGATTCTCACTCAAGCTCTCAGATGGAACCTTGTCTTCAGACAACCCTTCAAAAACAGACTCTCCCAAAGGTCCCTTTTATTTTCATATATCCATCCTTATCTAAAAAAAAGTGTGTCTGGTTACGGTTGTAAATAATTTAATTTATTATTATTATTGACGTGTAAGTTTTAGTGTTGTGTTTACTATCTTTATATTTTTTGTGGAATTTAAGTTTATATGCTCCATTTTAGATCCTTTATTTTTGAACAGATACGAGCATATGTTACCAGCAGTGGACATATTTGTGTGTACGGCAGATGCAGAGATTGAGCCACCAATAATGGTGATAAACACAGTGTTATCAGTGATGGCTTATGATTATCCAACAGAGAAGCTTAGTGTGTATCTATCAGATGATGGTGGATCAGAAATAATATTCTATGCTCTCTTAGAGGCTTCTGAATTTGCCAAACATTGGTTACCATTTTGTAAGAGATTCAAGGTTGAACCAAGGTCACCTGCTGCATATTTTAATAACATCACTGACACTAATCTGAATAATGATTTGGTGGCTATCAAGGTATGTGTAACTAATCCATTATCTTATCTATAATTTATTTGTTATCAGTTTGAATTATTATGGGGATGAAAAGTCTTAGAATATACTAAATAACAAAAGATATATTATTTTATTATATTTGTGCTTGGTTTCTTAATTTTGTTAAATGTGTCAAGATTGAAAATGAGTTTTGATAATGATGACAAAGAAAAATCACGCTTAGATGTTTCAAAATGGAATTGTATTGTCACTTTCAAGCATATGAGACCAACCTATATAGCTTCACCTACACTTATTTAAAAGTTAATTAACTTATTTATGTTTATAATATTTTTAATTTTAATATAAATGGAATTCAATTTTTAATTTTAATAGCTTTTGATAAATTATAGAATTCCATTATATCTTTCAAGCATGTGAGACCAACCTATATATCTTTTAATATAATTCCATGTGAGACCAACCTATATAGCTTCACCTACACTCAAAATGGAATTATTTTATTTTATTTTATTTTAATATTTTTTTGATATAATTTTTAATTTTAATAGAATTTATAATCTCAAGAAATTATATTTTTAATGAAATAAAATTAATTGTATTAAATTTAATTACAAAAAATGTACATGTTCTTCTTTTAATATTTAATTTAATAATTTAATATTTAAATTGAAGTTATAAATAAATAATTAAATAAATTTTTTATTTTTTTTAATCTTTTAACTTTAAATTCAAATAGTTTATTTTTTTTACATATTTGTTTCATTTTTAAGAAACACATTTATAAAAAATTTGTATTGAAAACATCACTAAAAAAATAAATTTTTATTAAAAATATTGTACAATTTAGAAAATATTATTTTTATTATCATTTATTAATTTGTACCCCTAAATCACAAGTTTGAATTAAAAAAGTTAAAAGAGTGGGTGAGAGTAGGCTACTTCTTTTGACCAAAAAGTTATAAATATTTTAGAAAAAAAGTATAAAATCACATGCAATTATTGAAAAATGAACCTCTGGCGTCAAAAGAGACCAGTGGGTTGAGAACCGCAGTATTTGTCTATTTTAATTTTTTTAAATTTAAATAATACCATCTTGTCTCAATTTATAATAGGTTTAGGACATTTCATACAAATTAAAAAATTTAATTATTATTTTATGAGAAAGACAAAATAATATATGATTTTATAGTAATATCCTTTATAATTATATAAGAGAGGAAAATTAAAAAAATTTAAAAAATAAATAATAATAAATATTTGAGGGTATATTGAGAAAAATATTATTAATATTACATTGAAAATGTAAGATAACTTATAATTTAAGATAATTTTTTTGAGAAAATGACTTATAATTTAGAACAGCGGAATACATGATATAGTGATATTTATGTAAGAAGATATTAAAATTTTTATCCAATCAATTTCATTTTTTGTTTTTCTACATTTTTTTCTTTAAATATAGATTTTGTTACACCATGAAGAATAATTGTCCTTTTTTTCCTATGATGTAGAAATTGTACACTGAAATGGAAAATCGAATTGAGAATGTAACAAAGTTGAAAAGAGTACCCAAAGAAGTACATTTAAAGCACAAAGGATTTTCTCAATGGGATTCATATTCTTCTCGACGTGACCATGACACCATTCTTCAAGTAAATTGCTTGATTCAATTTACTCCATTAGTATTTTCATTAATCTTTATGACTTATGATTATTTCTGCACTATTTTGCTTTTATTTACTAGATACTACTTCATAAAAAGGATCCTAATAACTCAAAAGATATAGATGGTTTCATTTTACCAACTTTGGTGTATTTAGCTCGTGAGAAGAGACCTCAATATCACCACAACTTCAAAGCAGGAGCTATGAATTCATTGGTATATAAATTTAATTGATGAAATATATATGGTTATTGTTTAATGTATGAGTGGTATTGAATATGTACCTTATGAACTGCAGATAAGGGTGTCTTCGATTATCAGCAACGGAAAAGTTATTCTGAATGTAGATTGTGATATGTATTCAAACAATTCAGAATCTATAAAAGATGCTTTATGTTTCTTCATGGATGAAAAGAAAGGCCATGAAATTGCTTTTGTGCAATCTCCACAGAATTTTGAGAATGTCACTAAGAATGATTTATATGGTAGTGCTCTTCTAGCAATTAGCGAGGTGAGTTGTTTCTTGTATCAAAAGTAACATAAATTGTATGTGTTTTTGTTTATAATCGTAAGTGTGTGTAGGTGGAGTTCCATGGTGCAGATGGTTTTGGTGGCCCTTTGTATATAGGAACTGGCTGCTTTCATAAGAGAGAATCTCTTTGTGGAATGAAGTTTAATGATGAATATAAGCATAACTGGAGGAGTGAAGATGACTTATTCAAAGAAGCAAATTTGCAAGAAATGGAAGAAAAATCAAAGGGTCTTGCAAGCTGCTCATATGAGGAAAATACACAATGGGGAAAAGAGGTCCTTTATATATACTCTATATCTACTTGGTTTTAGAAAAACTAATAAAAATTAAATTTTATTTTTAAACCCTAAACCCTAAACTCTAACCGTTACAGTTTTTTTTTAAGATGCAGATGGGTTTGAAATACGGGTGTCCAGTGGAGGATGTGATAACAGGGTTGTCCATACAAAGTAAAGGATGGAAATCAGTGTACTATAATCCACCTAGGAAGGCTTTCTTAGGTGTGGCTCCAACTACCTTACTTCAAGCACTTATTCAACATAAGAGATGGTCTGAAGGGGACTTTCAGATTTTGTTTTCTAAGTATAGTCCTGCTTGGTATGCTTTTGGGAAGATTAGTTTTGGCCTCCAAATGGGATATTGTTCTTATTGCTTATGGCCACCTAATTGTTTACCTACTTTGTATTACTCCATCATCCCTTCACTTTATCTCCTTAAAGGCATTCCCTTGTTTCCAAAGGTAACAAAAAAATTTCCTACTTGTTTGATAATAAGCACGGACACAGACACCAACGCTAACGCGTCGACATTAAAAATAATTTTAAAAAATAAATAAATTGAACGTAATTACAAATTTCACTGTTGTATTAAAATCGGTATTTAACACTAACATAGATATGGTATTTTTTTCCAGAGATGTTAGTGTGCTATAGAAATATAATATTTTATTGTTGAATTTTCAGGTGTCAAATCTTTGGTTCATACCTTATGCATATGTAATAGCTGGAGAAACTATTTATAGTTTGTTGGAGTTTCTTTGGTGTGGAGGGACATTTAAAGGATGGTGGAATGAACTAAGGATATGGTTGTACAAGAGGACAACCTCTTATCTATATGCATTTAGTGACACCATCTTGAAGCTTTTTGGTTTTTCGAATTCAGTCTTTATAATCACAACTAAGGTTTCAGAAGAAGAAGTTTCTAAGCGCCATGAGAAAGAAATGATGGAGTTTGGAACATCTTCACCAATGTTTACTATATTAGTAACATTGGCCTTGTTCAATTTATTTTGTTTTCTTAATGTGTTGAAGGATGCAATTCTAAGAGGGGGTGACTTTAGAGCATATGAGAAAATTGGATTACAAATTATTTTGTGTGGCTTTTTGGTTCTCATAAATGTGCCTTTATACCAAGGCATTTTCTTAAGGAAGGATAGTGGCAAATTGCCAAGTTCTCTTGCCATGAAATCAACAATATTAGCTCTAACTTTAGTTCTTTCCTTCAGCTATGTATGACAAATAAAATAAAGACTTATATTTGAGTTTCTTTTTCAATTGAAAGTGTATTATTACTATTAGTATTTAACATGTCATTTTGTTATTTAGTTTTATTTTCTATTAAGTTAAGGTTTAAGTGTTTTAATTTTATATAAAAAAATTCAAACGTTTTATATATATATATATATATATATATATATATATATATATATATATATATATATATATATATATATATATATATATATATATATATATATATATATATATATATATATATATATATATATATATATATATATATAAACAAAAATTTAGAGATTTCATTAGGAGTCAGACCGGCCTAAGAAGAAGGCCATTAAGACTATTGTTATGGGCTTTAAAAAAATTTAATAGTTGTTAACTCATATAATATTTAATATTTCTTAATTAATACTCTTTTTGAATGTTATGAAATAAATATTTAGCATTTCTTAATTAATACTCTTTTGAATGTTATGAAATAAGTATCGTTTTAATAAAAAAAAAGTTATTCTAAATAAGGGCATTTCATTCTAATTTACCCTAAAATTAATTATGTCTACATTACTTTCAAGTTATTATGTCTGATATAAATTATTGCTCAAGATAATTCTTGTTTACTTATATTATACAAGTATTTTTTAACTTCAAAAATCCTTATTTTGAAACTTTTCTTGGACTTATTGATGGACTAAATGACAAGTGTATCAATTTTTCGTACATTCCTTAATAGATAAAAGCTTTAAGCACAAATTTAGTTGAATAATATGAGATTAACAATTGTATAGATTAGAACTCAACAATAACAATGCTCAAGTAGCTCAAACCAATACAAGACCTAATCAAAGAGAAATTATCTCCACATAATTGGATTAATCATAGTTAAAAAGTTCAAGTAATGTACATGAATCGAATGAGAAATATAAGCTTCAATGGTGTAGAATCCTCAATCCTTGTCTCTGAAAACCTTGTAGCCACGATATCTACCATAAAAATTCAAACCTTTGCGATTGTCCTAAGTCTTTGTGGTTACGATAATTTACTACACTAGCTATCTACACTGCAAAAACTATCCCACAAATTATAACTTGTACCGATATATTTGTAAAGGGCTACAAGAGGCGATACTGAGATCTCTATTCTCCCATTTATCATACCAATCACCCTTTTATTGCATGTGTCTCTATTTTATTAGATGTATCTCCCTTCTCTAGGATAAACCGCCTAAGCGCGAAAATGGGTGATGTGTCCCCTCTAGAATGGCACGAAAAGAGTAATGAGAGAGGTGAATCTCGCTCCCATAAGTATTAGGAGGAAAACTTCTCATTCCCTGAGTGGTTGCTATATCCAAGGAGGCATGAAATATAAGACCGATGTAGATATAAATATTCTTTCAGCATGGTTGAGAGTTAAAACACATAAATACGCACTGACAGGATCTCGCGAAGGAATTTAGATATCCCATAAGGGAGATGAGAGAAACTTTGAAGATAAGGCATGAGATGCAAAAGAACGCATTCCCCCTACACACATCTCACGAAGGAATTCAGATATCCCATAAGGAATAAAATCACCTTCAAACAAAGTGGAAAATTTATTGAATGCTTCACTTTTCTTAATGCATGTCGAGAGAAAATTTGGTGAGAGGTCTTACATATGCATAACATCCCTCAACTACTAGCTCCCAAAAAAGACATCATGGGGCCTGTTGCAGTGAGAATAGGATATCAAATTATTGATTAATTTGAATCACAATCTTAGATTCACAACCGATATTTGATTTACCCGAATGAAAGATTAAAGAAGGAAAAACCTATTTTGCATCGTAAACACAATGCAGAGAGATCTAGGGTACGGGGGTTGGTTAAGCTTAGAGAATGTATTAACATCCTAAGCATTTGTAGTACTCTACATGAACCTCTTGTTTAAATGTGCTATTTTATACATCTATCTATTTAAGGTATGCTAAAGAGTTAAAAGGTAAAGAGAAGGACCTAAAGGGGTTAGTCCTACGTATACTCGCCAAGAAATCGCATCTTGTGCCTACGTATCCTGGGTAAGGGATGAAATCAGAGTATTCATAGTTCCCCTTATAGAGGGAGAGGAACTTTTTGACTGTAGTCAAGGTTCCAGGGGGAAGTAAGTATTCATAGAAAGCACTTACATGGAGTACGGCGACTTCGCATCTACGTTGAAAGTTGAATTGAAAAACGGTAGGTAAGTAAGTATTCCACGGCGGGAACTTACATGGAGTACGACGACTCCTGATCCTAGGATGAAGGGTAAAGGATGAATGGATATCTACGGCGGGATAACTACCTGGAGCACGGCGACTCCGACCCTAAGGCTAGGAAAAGGTAACAGGAAATTAGTTGTTAGTGAGCTTGCCAAGACGTTGCATCTTATGCCTACGTATTCTTAACGAGAAATCATAGTGTTCGTAGTTCCCCTCAAAGAGGGAGAGGAACTTCTTGATTGTGGTCAAGCTTCCAAAGGGATGTAAGCATTCATAGGGAAGCACTTACGTGGAGTGCGGCGACTTCGAATCTACGTTGTAAGTTTATGGTAAAGAATGTCCACGGCGGAACGCTAAACATGAGTACAGCGACTCAGATCCTAAGGATAGGATAAAGGGTAAAGGTAAAGGATATTCACGGCGGGACAACTACTTGGAGCACGACGACTCCGATCCTAAGGCTAGGAAAAGGTAACAGGAAATTAGTTGTTAGTGAGCTCGGCAAGAAGTCACATATTGTGCCTACGTATTTCTCAACAAGGAAACAGAGCGTTCGTAGTTCCCCTCAAAGAGGGAGAGAAACTTATTAACTGTGGTCAAGGTTCCAAAGGGATGTAAGCATTCATAGGGAAGCACTTATGTGGAGTGCGGCGACTCCGAATCTACGTTGAAGGTTATGGTAAAGAATGTCCACGACGGGACTCTAAACATGAGTACGACGACTTAGATCCTAAGGCTAGGATAAAGGGTAAAGGTAAAGGATATCCACGGCGGGACAACTACCTGGAGCACGGCGACTCCGATCCTAAGGCTAGGAAAAGGTTTAAGGTTGTCCACGGCGGGATGCTATGTATGAGTACAGCGACTCAGATCCTAAGGCTAGGATGAGATTAAGGTGAAGGTATTGACATGGCAGTCAAACAGGATACTTTTTCCTTCGGAACGCGATGTTAAGATAACGGGAAATATGAAGCAGTGATAATACAAATGATACAGAAATGAGATAATAGTATGTGAATATACGAATTAACAAGCTAGGGGGTTAAATTCAAATAAAATATCGAGATAAATAATCTTGGGTTAATGAAATTCAATTAAAAAGGTCTAAGCCTAAAGAAAATATAAATGTTTTTTATTTATTTTGTTTAAAAATTAAACTAATGGGAAATAGATAAAGATTAAATTAAAAAAAATAACTAAATTAAATTCTAAATCAACCCAATTAGTTAAATTATTAAATTAAATTAAAGAGAAAATTAATTTATTTAAACTCTAAAGAAAATAATTTTTTTTTGTTTTTTTTGTTATATTTTAAATGAAAATTAACTTAAATTTTTAAATAAAATAAATCTACTCTTTTTTTTATACTTTTATTATTATTAAATTGAAAAACTAATTCTAATTATTTTTTTTTGTTTTCTATTTTTTTATATTTTTCTGTAGTTTTGTGTTTTTTTATTATGTTTTAATTATATTATATTACATTATTACATAACAGAAAAATAATAAATAAAACAAAAATGGAAAACAAAATAAAATGGTTTGGCCCGTTGTGGTTAGGTCCACCGGACCCAACCCGACCCAACACAACAATGAAAAAGGGAAGGGTTTCCAGGGAAACTCTAATCTCCCAAATCGCGGCGCCCTTTCTCAGATTCTTCTCCCTCTCTCGCTCACCATTCTCTCTTCCTCCATTCTTTCTCGTCTCCTTCTTGCGTCTCTCACTCTTCTTCTCGCTCTTACCCTATTCTCCTTCAATTATTCTTTTGTATTCTTCTTCACCTTCTTCCGCTCACTTCTCACTTCTTCTTTTGTTCGTCTTCCTCCTCACTTCTTTGATTTCATGTTTCTTCTCCTTTTAAATCCATACTGAAATGTAAGAAAAAGAAAAAAATCACACAAATATCAAATATTTAGTAAAAACAACTTACGGCGTAAATGGTTCTTATTTTTTTTTTGCAGATTTCCGTTGGTGGTCGGCGACGGGCTTCGCGAAGAAATCGAAAACATAAGTTTTGCTAACTTTCTCTCTTTTCACAATTTAGGGCTTTTTGTATTTCGTCTGTGTTCGTGTGAATCCCGGTTGTTTTGTGTATGAATTCTTCCTTTTATAGAGCTCGGTGACATGAAATCCGATTTTCACTGATGAACAGCTTTCCTTCTTGGGATGGACATGTTTGACTTATTTTGGAAGTAAATCTCTTGTCATTAATCTTGTCGGAGATCTTATTTTCACGATTTTGAACTATTTTTATGAGGTTTGATTGTTTATGACTTTCTGTTGGGATTCTGCTTCATGCTGATATCAATTGTATTTCCTTCTTGGTCAGGTTTTGTTGGGATTCTTTTGGAGAGAAAGGAGCATGATGCCAAGGTGATAACGATTCATTTGCGTCAAAGTTTCACCTCCTCACACAGGCTACCAAGTTCTATCAAATTGTTTTATGGAGATTCCTTAACGATGTCACAGCACTGCTGAATTTTTCAGAAACCACGGTTGTTCGAATAGGTTCAGGTTTGTAATCTTTTGGAGCATTATTTTTATCGCAAATTCAAAAATGATTATTCTCCTTTTTTATGAGTCTGCAGACTTTGATCAGCAAGCATATGGTTCCTCAACCTATCATTTCTGGAAATCCCAATGGCACAACTCAAACGACGTGGGTGGCGCGATGGGAGTTGGTTCTGAAGATAAGGAAAGTTGGAGATTGTTGCTGCCTGGTAATTTCCAAGGGTTCAGTTGCCATAGAGCTCTGCATGT